CGTGAAAGGTGTGAATAAAATGTACTAGAAGCGAACTGTGTTTGTACTTGTTGGTAAAAAGTAACAAAAGGATTAAAGCACGCTATTTTAGGTCCCAAGAATAATACTGAATTGCAGAATATTTTCAGAATTGCGCAATATTTACTAAGTAGAATAAAAATACGTTAGACAAAAATAAAAATATAAATTGTAAACATAGAAATACAATTTTGGGATAATATATACAAAAGAACGTAATTCATGTAGAAGTTAGCAAAACTAAAGAAGAAATCAAACCTACAAAGCCGTTGCATCATAACTTTGAAACTTTGATAGAAAACTTTGATAGATAAAATAATAACATACATGTAGTGGCAATAAATGTCCAAAAATCGGATTTTTATGCTCAATATACATTATTATTATTCCTCGTACTTAGAGATTAAAAAACAAACCAAAAATATGAAAACATCATGTTTAAGACTTTTTTCTAACGGTATATTTTATTTCAAATACGAGTACATCCAATCATTTGCATATAGAATCTAGTATCTAGAATTCATCGATATCATGATATCGTGACCTCGCACGAACTTGTAAGTGAATTTTAATTCCTTAATGTACGATATAACTACGAGCAATTAATGTTCAGCAAAAGGTAGCATATTGGATATGCAACTGGTACAATATGGTTTAACCGACGACATCGCCACCTGCCCATGTAGACAGAAACACCTGCTCCCTACCTGCTCCCTCGGAATAGCAGAATTTCGTAAACCGTCAACGTGATCGTAAACTGTTCGCCGTAAATATCATTTACAACAACTTTGCGCCTACAGTAACGTACCAACTTCGTCCCCTCATCTCCACATTGTAATTTGTGCTCTGTTAAATAACTTATACTCTGCTATTTTCTGCCAGATTGTTGCATTTCAAGGAAAAGTGGGATCAGGACCGCCGTTAGGGGGATGGGAGGGGGGGGGGCAACCGCCCGGGGCGCTAGATTTTTGGGAGCGTCGCAGTCCGGTGTAGATTATTAAAGCTGCTATACAGGGTGACCAAAAATTTTGTAACACCTTGAAAGATGTGGTTCAGGAGGTGATTTCAAACAACTTTTTCCTTAGCAAAAATATTGTCCGAGGATTCGTTAAGGAGACATTAACGAAAAAGGCGGCCGTAGGCTACGCGCTAGGCGGCCGCGCTCATTCGCTACCGCGGCCGCTCCACCAGTATACGTGCGTTCTGATTGGTCAGTGTTTTCCGTTAATATCTCCTCAACGAAGCCTCAGATAACATTTTCACTAAGGAAAAAGTTGTTTCAAATCACCTCCCGAACCACCCCTTTCAAGGTGTTACAATATTTTTGGGACACCCTGTATATTGTAGTTTAACAATCTTTACAATCTATCTACAGATTCATCGTTTGATATTATTACCTTGTCTTCTTTTCTTAAAAATTTTAAGCCCCTGAACGGACGCCACGATAATCTTGCCCGGGGCGCCAATATTGCTAGAACCGGCCCTGAGCGGGATCACTCAATTTCTTCGGTCGCGAATTTTCTTCTTCAGCTTAAATTAAATTAGATAAATAACCGAATACTCTTCACGTTCTTGATGAACGCAATTAAAAAATTAAAATATATATGTACACGAATGAACATTCTATGTCGCAGTATTGTTAGCTATTAGAAATATTCGAAGTAATGTTACATTGTTGTCTTATCGCTAGGTTCATGAAAGAAATTCAATGCCAGACTTTAAGAATAGATATAATTTACAAGCGGTGTGGACGTATGTACGCGCGATATTTAGAATTTGGGTTACGTGAATTATGTGCATCGTATTTAGGGCGTTTCATGTTTAACTGCACTTATTTTTAGCACGACTCCGAGTACCTGTAAAAATTTCGTACGTGGGTATATCGCGTATCTTCTTGTTTACGTTCGCTCCGAGTGTTGAATACGAATAATCATAATAATAATTACTAATTCGGTCATGTGTATCTAAATGCAAAACGATTGGCAGAATTTATCGAGTGTACGTTACGAATAGAACTAAGATTACTTGTCCAATTTTTCTGTATTCAACTAGTAATATTCAAATAATGACATTCAAGGAGTAGCATCCAAATATTCATATATTCTCAATTTGTCTGCAATCTTATTTACAACTAGCTATGAGGTGTTTATGTTTCAATAAAACAATTGAAGCGTATCATATACCTTCCAAAACTTCAACCTGTTAGCCTGGGAAGACGAGTGAACTCGCGATTTGCATTTGTGATGTTTCTCGATTTTTTATTTATTCAAATAGAAACCGTTGTTTTTATTAAACAAATGACATAATACTTACATTTGACGTGAAACTAGATTCTTTGGATCGGATTTATTTATTTTTAATGTATCGAATATGTGTATCTGTAACAGGAAGAGTATTCAACGTACAGGTTAAGATAGCGTTCCTAAAGTAGATGGCGCCTTACAATCCAAAATGTTCTGTAGGAATGTCAAAAGGTATACAGGGTGTCCTAAAAATATTGTAACACCTTGAAAGAGGTGGTTCGGAAGGTGATTTGAAACAACTTTTTCCTTAGCGAAAATGTTATCCGAGGCTTCGTTAAGGAGATATTAACAGGAAATCCCGACCAATCAGAGCGCGAGTATGTCGGGGGAGCGCCCGCGGTAGCGTACGAGAGCGCTGATTGGTTAGTATTTTCCGTTAGTATCTCCTCAACGAAGCCTCGAACAACATTTTCACTAAGGAAGAAGTTGTTTCAAATCACATCCTGAACCACTCCTTTCAAGGTGTCGCAACATTTTTGGGGCACCCTGTAGGTCGCTTAATGACTCTAGAGTATATTTTTTGTAGTAGTTTAAATATACCACTTGTATCAGTTAATAAATACCATTCCTAAATTTTCCTTTAAATATTTGTTATACATTCAATGAGGCGTTCAAATTTTTTTTTTCATGGCGGAATTTTAAAATCCCTTAGGTAAGGTTTTCATTGTCTTTTATAGTTAATATAGAACTATAGTATCACGCATGCATATTTTTCCATAAGAATACGATTTACATCTGATATTTGGGGTAACAATGATACCCTCTTTTCGTTTATCGAATTATAGAGGTTAAGTCACACGCGTAACTAAAGAAAGTAATATAACAGCATTATTATTTTACTATAATCGTTTGTTTACATAATTCGACTCCTTTGTATTTTGCAAAGCTGTCAATTTACATAACAGAGCTTCTTCCATAGTAATGACTGCGGTTCTCTTGCAACGCAGGATTGCTAAAAAAAGAGGACGTCAAGCGTTTACACGAATGCAAGAGTCATAGCGTTTAGGAAGTAACGGGTGTTACAGAATTCTCCATGAATTCACGCGAAACGTATTTTCGGAACAGAATTTCTGGTTGCCGCGGGAAATACGATCGCGGTTCTCTCGTGGGTAATAGATTTGATGTTTTATCAGCAAATAAATTTTACCGTGTTATCATTTTTATGCCGTTCGGCGAATTCGAACGCGACCTAAGGGTTTGTACAGTGTATTTAGTAGCTTTACATATTCACAAACTTTTCAATTGCGTTCGTTTTCAGCAATCTGTGAAGTCGTGTTTGTAAATGATAAACGACTTGCAATCGAACAGATTCAAGGGTTTAAATTAACTGTGATTGTGGGAAATAGGATCAAGTGTTGCAGGAAACTAGTTTGATAATGAACGTGATAAAAACGCTCTGCGAATATCGTACATTCAATGTCCTCGTCGGAAATGAAACAGATTAGAATGTTTTCGAAATGCTTAGCAGCTCAGCGCGGGAGGAGTCAATGTTTTACAAATAGATCTTAGAGCGATCGTAGAAGTTAAGGTGGCTCATGTCCAATTTTGGCCGGTCGCGCTTCACGCTACCCGTATTAAATTTCACACAATATTTTTCTCTCTCTGTCTGCCTTCCTTCGAAAAAAAATTCGCGGTCGCTGATGTCGTATTATTTGCGTTCTCACAGGGTATCTTGCAACGGCACAAAGTTGATTACGATTCTGTTACTCATAGTTTACTTTACGATATAGTAATGTTATCGTTACCCATGATTACAAAATCTTTACTACATTACAGAAACTACAAATAGTTTAAAATTCATGTTGTATTAATTTGTTCGTGAAATTAAGTATATTATTAGTATTATTAACATAATGATGATATACACATTTATATAAATTGTATTTTGTCTTTATAACTTAAGTTTTTTGTATTATTTTATTGAACCCAAAGATTATGTTAAGTTTTGAAGATACTTTTAATCTACAAACTGTAAACGTCAAAATAATATAATGTATGTTAATACTTTTAGTAGCGTGAATTTTATAAATGTATTTTTTCTATCCTTCATTTATCCTTTATTTAAATATTCTTCTGTAATTATATTTTAATATTTACAATAAAATATGTGGGTTTTTTATACAGTATGTTCTCATTAATGATTTGTGTGTATCTCTGACAAGAAATTTGCTGAAAAAATTTACTTGTTGTTTTATATATATTAGTACGATACTTTATAAACATTTTATCATCAAATATGATGCATAATATACATCGTTTGATTTATATTCAGCATATGTGTCCTTGAAGATTCATTATAACGATCAGAGATTTTGATTAAGTATTGAAGTATGCAGAATTTCATGCTTTAAGATATCAAAGCTTTGAAAATCTTTAGTCCGAGCAATAGGAAGCAGTTTAAGAACCAGGACAGGAGATATATATAGCAGGAGGGATTGGGGTCGTTACTAAAATATACACTAAGCAGCAGTCAAGCTCAATTCCCTATTTTAAATTCTTCTTGGTCATAACATTCTCTTAGGTATTGTATTATTTCATTGACGGTAGATCAATCATATTGTTATAGTACTGTTACGTAACATGGAAAATAAGTAAATTTTTACATGAACTTAAAATCACATACTGCTTAACCTAATAAAAATCCTGTTAGTAATTGTTATTTGTTCTATTTGTTTTTAGACATTCACAGCATGGTGTAATTCACATCTTCGTAAAGCAGGAACTGCCATTGAATCAATCGAGGATGATTTTAGAAATGGGCTGAAGCTGATGTTACTCTTAGAGGTAATTTCAGGTGAAACTCTTCCAAGACCAGACAGAGGCAAAATGAGATTCCACAAGATTGCTAATGTTAACAAAGCTCTTGATTATATTGCCAGTAAAGGCGTTAAATTAGTTTCTATAGGAGCAGAGGGTTAGTATTTTTTTTATTTTTCAAATGTTTTCTTGTAATATTTGAGAACTTTGTAAGACTATTATTTAGTTTCTAACAGAAATCGTGGATGGCAACCTGAAGATGACTTTGGGTATGATCTGGACTATAATTTTGAGATTTGCTATCCAAGACATCTCTGTGGAGGAGATGACTGCTAAGGAGGGTCTTCTCTTATGGTGTCAGCGCAAGACAGCACCATATAAGAATGTCAATGTTCAGAACTTCCATCTGTCATTCAAAGATGGCTTGGCATTTTGTGCTCTCATCCACCGTCATCGTCCTGATCTTATTGATTACAATAAACTTAGCAAGGATAATCCTCTAGAGAATTTGAACACTGCCTTCGATGTTGCTGAGAAATATCTCGACATTCCTCGCATGTTAGATCCTGACGGTAAGTACATCGTATATTCCGTTATAAAAAAGTCCTATCGTTGGAAACAAATATTAAGTGTCATATTTTTGATTCTGTTGGTTAATACGAGAGATTTTTTATCCTATTGCTTTAGGCATTTTGTTGGTGTACAGGATGGAACTATGATCAAATGAGTTTTCTCAATGTTATTTAAACGTATAAATTCTTAATATTATGTTCCCTTAATATCATATAGATTTGATCAACACACCCAAGCCAGATGAGCGTGCAATCATGACGTATGTGTCCTGCTACTACCATGCGTTCCAAGGTGCTCAGCAGGTCAGCGTAAAGAAATGCGTGTTGTTCCCTTACTTTGGTTACAAAGCGACCTGTGCTATTCTTCACTAATACAATTAAATTGTATGCTTACTATTTAACAGTGTTTGATCATGCTAATTCCATCACATAATTGTTTATAATTGTTTTGTCCTCAGAAACTAGACACACCCATAGAAAATATTGACTTCTTTCATTTGTCGATATATGTTTTTGTTACCCTTATACTGTACAATGAAATCACAATACTATTATTTAGAGGCACTTGTTAGCTCTTCAATGTACCAACAAATTCCAAGTATCGATTACACTTTTATTCTTTGATGAAGAATAAATAAAATTTACAGTGGACATTATTATGCTAACACTGCATGGTTTGAGTTTCTTTGAATGTGTTTTTCTAGATATGCGAAATACACCAAAGACTGATGAGAGGGCTGTGATGACCTACGTTTCTTCGTACTACCACTGTTTTAGTGGTGCACAAAAGGTGTGTGTGGCATTTGTAATTAACCAAGAATAAATAACAGTCTGATTGCGCGTGTGAAGTTTGTACAGTGAATGTTCAATGAACCAAGTTATAATATAAACGAGAATTATTCTTAAATCTTTATAAGCAATATTTCTACTCTCAATACTCTTGTAAGCAACACTACGCACTCCTAAACTCCCACAAACAATATTTTTTTTCTCAAGAATTTCACAATACAATTATCAGTTTCAAAATTTCCTCAAAAACTATTTTGTTTACCATGAATCTCACAAATAACCATATTCTTTTTAGTCTTTCTTATGATATCCATGAGAAATGAAATATTTGTTTGGGTGAGGGTGGGGATACAGGGACAACCAAGTGTACTGGGTATGCGTAAACTATGATTGCATGATATGGAAGAATGTATTTTTGTTTCATGAAATAAATGTGTTTGCTCCTTATTGTAGGCAGAGACAGCTGCGAATCGAATTTGCAAAGTTCTGAAAGTTAATCAAGAAAACGAAAGGCTTATGGAAGAGTATGAACGTCTGGCATCCGATTTATTGGAATGGATAAGACGAACAATGCCTTGGTTGGCCAGTCGTCAAACTGATAACTCTCTTGCTGGTTGTCAAAAGAAACTGGAAGAATATAGGACGTATCGTCGTAAGCACAAACCACCACGCGTTGAGCAGAAGGCTAAACTCGAAACGAATTTCAATACTTTACAAACGAAATTGAGACTGAGCAATCGGCCCGCGTATATGCCAACAGAAGGCAAAATGGTCTCGGACATTAATAAAGCCTGGAAAGGTAACACATATCATACGTATTAAATAACATGGCCTATGTAAATGTGATGCATAATCATTTTGTAAAAAGATATAAAAGATATTCTTCCATGGAAACAGATAGTTTTTTAAAACTCTGAACTTTTCGGGGAGGGTTGTTCAACAACTTGTGTCTCAGATTTAAATAAGCCATGTATCATTTATTAATAACGAATTCCTATGACTAAAATACTGCACTTACAAGTTTAAAAATCAATTATTATTTGTTTCGATTATAGGCTTGGAGTTAGCAGAGAAATCATTCGAAGAATGGCTACTATCAGAAATGATGCGTCTTGAACGACTCGAGCATCTAGCTCAGAAATTCAAGCACAAAGCTGACGCTCACGAGGAATGGACCGCAGGAAAGGAAGAGATGCTCACGTCGCAGCATTTCCGACAATGTAAACTCAACGAACTCAAGGCTTTGAAGAAGAAACACGAGGCCTTCGAGTCCGACCTTGCAGCTCATCAAGATCGCGTAGAACAAATAGCTGCTATTGCACAAGAACTGAAGTAATACTATAAAATAGTTGATATCTCGTAATTTAACAGGAAATTCTGCGAATGAACTTCAATATCGATAAACTTGTTCTTCCAGTGCCTTGGAGTACCACGACAGCGCAACCGTTAACGCCAGATGTCAACGAATTTGCGATCAATGGGATCGTCTCGGTACTCTTACTCAGCGTAGACGTCAAGCATTAGACGAAGCTGAGCGTATTCTCGAAAAGATCGACGTTTTGCATCTGGAGTTCGCTAAACGAGCTGCTGTGAGTTTGCTTTATTCGTTATAGAAAAACGGTGTTGGACAGAATTGTGTACGAATATTTGTATCTGGATGGGAATTTTGCCTATCTCTGGTGGAGAACTTTACTGGAGTTTATCTTATCGTTATGCATTTCTTAGCCATTCAACAATTGGTTAGACGGAACCAGAGAGGATCTAGTGGATATGTTTATCGTTCACACGATGGAGGAAATCCAAGGACTAATGGATGCTCATGCTGCGTTTAAAGCAACTCTCGGTGAAGCTGACAAAGAGTACAACTCAATTGTGGGATTAGTGCGTGAAGTTGAGTCAATAGTCAAACAGTTCCAAATCCCCGGTGGCCTTGAAAACCCGTATACTACGCTCACTGCATTGGTAAATGAATTTTATAATTTAAAGAAATCGCCTATTGAAAGACGAGACAAAAATATGTGTTCGAATAACCAAGAAAGATGTCGTTTTTGAAGATTGTATTAGTTGCAATAGTTGTAGATTCTTAAATACGTTTAGGCTTATTACATTTCCTTTAATGTTGGCGATAGGACCTTACGAAGAAATGGAGCGATGTTAGGCAACTCGTTCCACAACGTGATGGTACATTGCAAGCTGAACTTCGTAAACAACAAAGTATCCTTTTCTAATTACATACTTTATCATAAAAGATTCTTGTAAATCTCAAAATTAAATATGTTGTTCATTCTATAAATCAACGTATGATTTCTTAATTAAGTAAATAGATAATGAACTGCTTCGACGACAGTTTGCTGAAAAAGCCAATGCTGTTGGACCATGGATAGAACGTCAGTTAGACGCAGTTACAGCTATTGGTCTCGGTCTCCAGGTAAATAATTCATTTAAATGTATTATTTTCCAAACGAAAGTACTAAGATATTAAGATATAATTTCATTTTTCAGGGAACTCTGGAAGATCAGCTGCATCGTTTGAAAGAATACGAACAGGCGGTATACCAGTACAAAGCTCACCTTGAGGAATTGGAGAAGATTCACCAAGCTATCCAGGAAGGAATGATATTCGAAAATCGATACACTCAATACACAATGGAGACACTACGAGTTGGTTGGGAGCAGCTTTTGACTTCGATAAATCGTAACATCAATGAAGTTGAAAATCAAATTCTTACCAGGGACTCGAAGGTAAATTTCTTTGAATGCAATTACATTTTTTTCTCAGTTATAATTGAAATAATTGCAGCATTTATGTACGTATGCCTCTTATGTGTATTGTAGGGCATTACGCAAGAACAGCTTAATGAATTCCGCAGCAGTTTCAATCACTTCGATAAGAACCGAACAGGAAGATTGGCTCCTGATGAATTTAAGTCCTGCCTCGTATCTCTGGGTTATTCTGTTGGTAAGGACAGGCAAGGTGACATCGATTTCCAGCGTATCTTGGCTATTGTTGATCCAAATAACTCTGGTTACGTTCACTTCGATGCATTCTTGGACTTCATGACGCGTGAATCTACGGACACTGACACGGCTGAACAAGTTATCGATAGCTTCCGTATACTTGCTGGTGACAAGGTTTGCATTTATTTTTACAGAATAATTACACTTCGTTTTGTAATGTCAAGGAAGAATATTTTCTGCTTTAAAGAAGTCTCTATTTCATTACTTTTCGATTGGCTTCGGAAAGGTAATAAGAAAATAAATCTAAAAATGTATTTATAATGTATTATCGTGTTTTACAGCCTTTCATCTTGGCCGATGAATTGAGGAGAGAACTACCACCTGACCAGGCCGAATACTGCATTCAACGAATGCCTCCTTACAAAGGAATTAATGCTCCTCCTGGAGCATTAGATTATCGTTCTTTCTCCACCGCTTTGTACGGCGAATCCGATTTGTAAATTTACATATCAAAGAAAGATGAAAAAAAAAACGAGGAAATGTTTTTGGACGATTTCCATTTAAAAAGCAAGTCAAATGATATCCGAAAAGTTTGGTTTACGTTTTTGGTACTCTAACGCACCTTTACAAGTCAAGAATATCAACGCGATTAAGGAATCATTATTTAGTATCAAAGAGTACAGTACAATATTCGGAGCGTTTGTAAGAAAAGGGGTTCTAATAGTTTATACGCGTTATGAGTGTTATCAGTTTTGTATTCGTGATATTATTTTAACGTGAAGGAATCTGATAAAGGCATATTGATAAGTTTTGATACACCGATATTTTGCTAGGATGTCTACCTCCATTGCGGAATAAAATCCTCGTATAGCGTTCAACGTAGGTGGTACGTACTTAAATTAAGTCTGTACAGTGACAATAAATGTCCCAATTTAGATACCTTAACGTTAAAATAGTAACACACAATCGAACGTAACAGTCTCTTTAAGAACGTTTGCTTCTTACCTATGGCTACGATGAATCCTATAATTAGTAAGTTAATTCTTCAATTGTATATAAATGTCCCCGAGAGAAGTCACACGAGTACCACTAATAAAGAAAATGATAAGCATTTCCTTTTCGCAAGCGTTCCAGAAAAGGAATGAAACGAATCTATGTCGAAAAAACGAATAGTATATTTAACAAAGGAAGAGAGATAAAAAAAAACGGAAAGAAAAAGGAGAACGCGATTGAACAATTTATTGCGTATATAATTATCGCTGGCATCGATATTGTAGCTACGTATCGTTAAATATAATCGAAATTCTTTCTACATACAAAGAAAAGAACAAAAAAATGAAAATTTAACGCATTTCATTTAATTTCATATAATTTACTCTTTTTCAAATAATCTTTAATTTATCTAACCGAGAAGCAATTATATTAGTTGTGTTCGAAAAATGTGGGCGTCCCACAGTTCCTAAATACGTTCCTGCGGGTCAGCGATTTTTTTTTTGTTTATCGCGTAAAGTCAAGTTCATCGAGTAAAATGACTTTGAGGAGTCACTTAACTGGAACGTAAGGTATAATTCAAAGTTTGCGTACCGTGCGGAAATTCATATATATATATATGAATAATATGTGTGTGTAAATTGAGGGTATTATTAACGATACAGACGAATTTTTTGGAAATCCTTAAAAACGTACGAATCGACTTTCTCGCTAAGGATCCAGAAAACATAACGCTCGATAATCGAATATAACGTTCATATTTTTTATATAAGCGGCGTATACGAATTTTTTAAACGAGAAGAATAAGCCGCCTTTATATTTCGCAGATCGTAATATTAAACGATACAAACGCGAAACGATGCTAAAGAAAGCAAATTATTTATTTATTCGAATTAAATGATTATTTATTACTGCTCCGATAATTAATTACGGTAGTGAACGAAGCCACCTTTTTCAAAGTATTTATTTTTATAAATATTTCGAGAGAAGTGATATAAAACGAAAGGCCACTGTAATATATATAGGACCTATTATGTAAAATTTCCAAATAGCAGCTGCCATTTCTTGTGTCATGTGTAACAGAGATCACAGTTTTACACGCTGCAGCCTGAAAACCTCATTTAGTCGAATCATTATTGTCCAAATCATTATTACTATTACTATTATTATTATTAATATTATTATTATTACTATTATTGTAAGATCATGAAAGTTGCTCGTGTGTGAAATGCAATTACTTATTCGAGAGAAAGAAAACAAGTATACTGTAACTACTTTTTTTCGCTTGAGGCTTAATGCTTTTTTCATTGTCTATCTTAATGCGTTTTTCAGAGTTCACATAATTTCTCGTACCTTTATTTTCGTTAAAGAAAACAACAAAAAAGTATTGGGCATTTTCAAAGACGAATCACATGAAAAGAAGCACAGAAGAATCTACCAAACGGTATACAATTAGAGACACCAACACGCACACGCACACACATGCACTATTCACATGCATACATATACACCGGAAAGGAATATTCATGATATCAAAACGTATAATAAATTCGAAAGCGTACAGTATACGTATGATGTAGGTATACAGTTGAAACGAAATTTCGTTCGAAAATTGTATTTTCGAGAGTCTCGGTCATATCGTGTCATACTATATACACGTAAACATTCTCATCGATAATCGTATATACATATAATTACAATTCTTATAATTTTATTCTACTCGATGTAATTGTTACGATTATAATTCGATTCGAACATCCGCCCGGCACAGTCATAGTCGTCTCGCATCGCATAAGTTCATACACCCGACGACAAGTTTCTATTCTAGTTTTGCCAAATTTCATCTTACTAAGCTCGTGACGAACTCGGTATTGTAAAATCGGAACACGAGAAAGGAAAAAAAACGAACCAACAATAAGCCTTTGAAAAGGAAGGGAAACTCGCTCAACTTTTTCTACTGGTGTAATGGCGACAAGGCTTGGAATATTGTTTCCAAAAGTTAACCCAGTATGCGTCATATCACGCGGGCGATATAACGAAGGATATTTAAATAAAAATTTCTAACAGTGTGGTTAAACGATGCTTTTATTCCGAATACAAAAACTTTCGCCGTACATAAATTTACAACTGTAAATTGCTCGTTAGGGATAGACTCGAAAGTAAGTACCTACATGTACTCATGGTCGGCGTTTGGGGGGGGGGGGGGGGGGGGGTAACGCCGTCGAGCAACTGCCCGGGGCGCCAGATTTTTGGGAGCGTTGCAGTCCGGTGTCCTTAGTATACGAATATACCGATATACAGGGTGTCCCAAAAATGTTGTAACACCTTGAAAGGGGTGGTTCGGGAAGTGATTTGAAATAACTTTTTCCTTAGCGAAAATGTTGTCCGAGGCTTCGTTAAGGAGATACTAACGGAAAACACTGACCAATCAGAGCGCGCGTATACCGTTGGAACGCCTGCGGTAGCGTATGAGCGCGACCACCTATCGTGTAGCCTCCGCTCAACCGGCATACTCGCGTTCTGATTGGTCGGGGTTTTCGCTTAATATCTCCTTAACGAAACCTCGGACATTTTCGCTAAGGAAAAAGTTGTTTGAAATCACTTCCTGAACCACCCCTTTCAAGGTGTTACAACATTCTTGGGACACCCTGTATATACCCCTGAAGGGGCGCCACGATAATCTTGCCCGGGGCGCCAATATTGCTAAAACCGGCCCTGCATGTACTTTATAAAAAGAAAAAAAGAAAAAATGAAGGCACGATTAAGAGCATTTTTCGATGTTGAACGGTGCACTAGAACGCATAAGTTAATACATCGTCGATACGTTACGCGATAGCGTAAGCTAATTCTACTTATATACAATAACTCTAGAATATTTACACGAAGAAACGTTTTAATGATGATATCACCATTTATTGTTTCCATCGATTATGGCTATCTGCGTTCATAAGCATTAAAGTGATATCGCTCCATTGCACGAACAATCGATATGGAAATCGTGTCACTTTGTACAAAACGAAACGATAGAACAAAATCATACCAATCTTGCTTGGTATTAAGGATAACATAACCTAATGTCAATATTTTTTAGTAGGTTGAGCTATAGACAAGATGTGAAAGTCAACTTAATTTTTTTTTATGGAACGAGGTGTCTTTTAATTACTTTTCAACAAAACATTTTAAAACGTGTACAATTACCTGTATGGTCAAGGGTTATCGAAGGTCGTTCAAGGTCAAGTACGATGGAAAATAATTTACCTCAAAAAACCGATCGAAACACTTCAGTGATTAATTTATTTGCGATGCACATTGCCACTGCACGTATATATAAAATACACTACGATCAGGAAATCTTTCAGCATCCACTACAAATGCACAAATTATATCAATTTTTTCCGTTTTCGTATAACACATTGTAGAAGTTTTTATTACAAAGCATTTTGGTCGGTAGCAGACAGCAGACTAATACGAATATTCATGGATATAATGATCGAACGTCTGTTTACATACTATGATTTGTATAGTGATTGCAAAAACGATATACAGTAATGTTTCGAAAATTGGGACTACCAATTGTTAATGCGCGAAGCACAGCAGGGAATTTTTTATCGGAATTGGTCAAACCTCAACGGACTATTCGAAGGGGATAGTCAACGAGTAAACATAAACAGAAATGAAGATTATTCCGAGTAACAAACTTTACCGATATCCAAGATATTTCTGTATAAACAATTATAAAGGAAAAAATGCGAAAAGTTTGAAAATATTTGTTTTTAATAGAAATGATGGAATTACTGTATATCTTTTGTTGTATTGTGCCAATGATTTTGAAAAAAATTCGGTATATTCTACTCCACGGCGTATGTGTTTGTGAATTTTTTCAGAATTTTTGACTGCAACAATTATAGATGACATGAAATTGTTTGATCGATCTCTGCAGTAAATTAGTTTCCATCGCAGCGACTTTTAATAATACCATTGAAAGTGGGCCAAGAAATGGTTCAAAAGCATAAATGGGGAAAACCCTAGACTTCGAATAAATCTGAAGTTTACCAATATGTTTGTCTCGTTTTCTCTTTTGAACATTTTCCACAGAAGGAATCGAGACAAACACATCGGCAAACTTCAGATTTATTCGAAGCCTAGGGTTTTGCCCATCACTGTTCAAAAGGGTTGTCGTTCCGATTATTAGTTTCGCCAATGGAGAAACAACAAAGCAATTATTACACCTGCGTAAATAGACACCTTCACCTATCAAAGATCTAGTGACATCAAATTATGTCCCTCTTGAAGCTTACCATGTATTGTTCCGTTTAAAATGCTTCACCTTGTTTCGTTTCTTTCCACTTAAAATTTCGTATTTCGATCTCGTAAATCTGATTGCGAAAACAGTGAAAATTAATAACGCGTTACTCTTTGCAGCCGAGTCCAGCGGACCAGTTGCAAATGCCTCCAACCGGATCGTACGACAGTTTATCAGGACAGGTGTATTCAGCACCGACCACCAAACCGTTCACCATTTTCGCGCAAGTGATGAACTTTTTGCAGGAGTACGGATGCGGGAAATTCCCTTGATCAAGACAACGGATGTTACCCTTGTTCGTGAGGAATAGCTTCCCGTTATAGGTGGACTTGGCGATCACAGGCTCTTCCTCGTCCTCGTAATAATCATAGTCAATAACCTGCGGCCGTCTAGGTCTCGTCGTTACGTTCTGTTGAGGTGTATCCTTCGTCTTTGGCTTGTGTCGATCTCCGCGAATCGCCGCGAACCCGATGGTAGTCCTACTCGTTGTCGCGTCTGTTCTAGGTGCTAGCGTAGTGCTTATCCTGCGCCTTAGAGCATTCCTTAACGATGGTCGACCTGATCGTGTAACCCCATACATTATTTTCGTCCCTCAGGGTGAAAAAAAAACTAGAAAAGTCCTGTTAGCACCAACAGTGGGATGGCAAAGAGGATGCGTTAGCACGCACGTGACGTATCCAGGCATGAAGAACAAAAGATGCCTGCTGACGTAAGGATGCAGACAAAAGAGACAGAGAAAGGGAGAGAATGAGAGTATCGATGTGCGTTCGAGTTACACAGGGTGTCCCAAAAATGTTGTAACATCTTGAAAGAGGTGGTTCGGAAGGTGATTTGAAACAACTTTTTCCTTAGCGAAAATGTTGTCCGAGATTTGGTTAAGGAGATATTAACAGAAAACCTCGACCAATCAGCGGGCGCTCCATTGGCATACTCGCGTTTTGATTGGTCGGGGAGCGCGGAGCCTACGCTACCGCGGCCGCTCCAACGGTATACGCGCGCTCTGATTGGTCAATGTTTTCCGTCAATCTAGACACGCGGTAGCGTCTCGACACCAAGTACATGAAAAATTTTCCGCCACCCTGTACACTGCACTGGCGGTGACGCTACCACGTATCTTTTACTCGTAAAACTGCGAATACAACCTAACCTGAAACTTCTTTCATTAATATCTAATCACGCCTGCAATATCTTCTAAATTTAAAAGCATTTTTCTGATGTAAATCGCATGTAAGCTTTCGAATAAAACCAAAATCAATAAAATCGGTCCATGTACAACTGAGATATTGTAATATCATGTCATGAATCTGTTAGAAATTGTAGATTTTTCTTCTGATTCTGATTCTGATTTTTTTTGTCAACACTTAGCCAATAAGAGCTAAGGCCGTTCGTCGATTCGTCGACTCTCGGAATCAGTCGGCAGGGCTCGTCGGCCGGAATTGTAATATGCTTTGACTATATATGTTTACATGGACTGCTCAAGCCTACTCTTTATACACTGAGCAGAACATAACCAACATCTTCATACCAAAAGTGAGACATGACGCTAATGCGCATGCGTCGAATTCGAGACTATAGCAAAAATTACATCTCGATGACAGGCTGACTGGAGCTTTGACCAATGGTCGAAGAGTAGTTCGACAAACCATCCAAAATTTCAATTCGCGCCTTTCCCCACTGCTATCGCCCATTGACTGTAGCGCTTGCGCACAACTGCTTACTCGATACTTTGGCATGGGAGATGTTGGTTACCATTGAGCTCTATCCTAACTGGAGTGTGAACTCCTATAAGAAGTTGAGGCGACGGAGTCCCAGAGAAATGCAAAATGGGTGGTTCCGGTATTATCCTATAGCAAATTTATTTGTAGAGGGGGAACAAACGTATGCCGTAACATAACCTACCCGAGCTTTGCTGAGCATTGTCGAGTGAGTAATTTATGTAAATTATGTATACTATTTCATTATTATGTCATTATTATTAATGTTTCTATCGTTTTATATATAAATAAAAAGGAAATAAAGTTTAAATCTGTACATAATTAATCTGTAAATAATTCCTAGTGCCGCGAAATTCAAACAAAGAGGAGTCTGTTTCTCCCTCCACACATAAATTTGCTATAGGATAATACCACCGGAACCACTCATCTTGCATCTCTCTCGGACCGGCTTCTCTCTCACAGTTCACACTCCAGTTAGGATAGAGCTCAATTTGGTTACTGACTACACTGTAGCTTGAGCAGTCCATGTATGTATGGTCGAAGGTAATATGGCTGCCGCTAACGTCGCTCGTTTATTTCTAACCTGTATAATCCGTCAGTTTGTATTTGTGACATTTGGACGCCGCAAATTGAATAATTATTTTAAAGGCTACGTGTAGTGATATTGTATTGGGAAGTATATGGTTATCACTATACAAATTATCTTTGTAAAAAGAAGTGAGATTCTCATAAAAAACTTCAAAAAAGTAAAAAAAATTATATCAAGCACATGAAAAAGTGGAGGACTTAAAGAGTAATCATAGAAAAATATAAGATTCCCCTTAAAAAAATTCAAGAAAGTAAAAAAAGATGTGAAATCGAAATGAGCAGCCAGTACATGAAGGTCCTTTCCATTAAAGTGCAAGGTGACACTGTGTGACATAATATAAAATTCGGTGCTTTTCAACTATGCACAGCTAAAATGTTGTGTTCAACAATGCAGACGTTCAGACCCTAATGACAACTCATGTAAACTGACTGCTCCACACTGTGGTGATGAAATGAAGAAGCTAAATCGTGTATCAACTACAAACTGAGACTGTTTATACATTTGCTTAGATGTCCGTGGCCTGGAAGTCAAATGCTTGGCGTGGCCAGGTATGGTCAAGGTTTTGATGAATAAGAATTATTTTAATGTAAAATACTGAAAATGTACTCATATTGTCAGTGTTTTAAACTGACACATTATGTGAAAGTCTGTGAGAGAGAAAATATGGGTATTGATGATCTGAGACTGCTTTGCCTGGCCACGCCAAGCATTTGACTTCCAGGCCACGGACATCTAAAAAAATGCATAAACAGTCTCAGTTTGTGGTTTATCTCCTCAATGAAGCCTCGGAGAACATTTTTGCTTAGGAAAAAGTTGTTTCAAATCACCTCCCGAACCACCCCTTTCAAGATGTTACAACATTTTTGGGACACCCTGTATATGGTTGCATTAGTATTTTTGCATTGCACGTTGGTAAACATAATTGAAAGACGATAATGAACTAGTAGGCGAAGAACGAATGATTGAAATTATATAGTGGGAATGCGAGCCATAGAAGTAACACAGAAATTAGCGAAACGGATGAACGACTGTGGTAAAGACGAGGTAGAGCCGACGAACGATTAGTTAGTTTCTAAGTTTTCAATTGAACCCCAACAGCGATGTACCTCTTTGAAGGAAGAAAAATGCGATTAGTTTTTTTATGACGACCAGAGTTTTGTCAAAGACTTCGTGATTGCTGCGCGTTCAGAGAAATATCGACGAATGGAAAAAAGTTTCAATTGTATCGATTGACTCCCAAGAAAGAGTGTGATGTGGTATAAGTCGAAGATTGCGATGAAAGGTTATATCCCAGATGATCCATGAACAATCGTGAGCTATGTGATGTGATCATTTAATTAAGTAGATTAAGAAGTCTGATGATGTAGTAGTTATCAAGTCGAGTGTACCGGTGGACGATGATTGTGAAGTCGGAGGATCCGCCAAGGTCACCGCGATCTCTTGAGCCCGACTACTTTGATCGATATCTTTCTCAGATATCGGCAATTCCGTTGTATTCATCCCGGTATCTGTAACGATATTGGACATATTTATGAAATGCTTATTTCTACTACAAATAATTGAAATTTCTGGGAGAAACAAATGCTGAAACTGTCATGGGTCACCAAAGTTGTCACGTGTCCTTTCTGTAGGATGAATCTATAATTGCACGTTTGTATTATAGATTTATACAGGGAGTCCCAGAACTCCTGTAAAAACCGGAAATGGGGGAATAGCTGACACGATTCCGACCAATAATTTCCTTTGCAAAAATGTCGGTGGGAGCTTCATTTTTGAATTATTAACAAAAAACACTGACCAATCACAGTATAGTATAAGCTCGATGTCAGGACTGGCTGGTTACGCGGCGTACCTAGCTGAGCGCGCGCTGTGATTGGTCAGTGTTTTTCGTTAATAATTTAAAATACAGGAGTTCTGGGTCACCCCGTATATAGTCTACTTTTATTTTTTAAAAAACGTTCTACCTTAAGTTTGTTATTGTCGACAACGGGGAGGTCACGATTTCCGTGACGCCGCGATTTGACCGTGTCTCATTTAATATAATTTATCAAAAAAACAATGCCACAAACCGCGAACGCTTCTTCATTACTTTCTGCGAATTTTCTACAACGCTTTTCATTACATAATTAGGGTGATTTCTGATTCTTATTGTTGCACATTGCAATCGTTTCTGTGTACGAAGTATGTTTACAACTTTCCCACGAAGTGTTTGAGCATCTTCTTCATTACAGACAATTGTTTAATATATCTGATAAACTAATCGTCTTTTTTTTACCTCAATATCCTAATATTTTTTTTTGGGTGTACTTTACTTTGATGGACCGAAAAGTTTTTTTACATAATTCTGTAGATTTTGTCAAGAAAAATCCGAAAATGGTAGTTTTAAGACGAGGAATCTACTTGTTCAGAAGTTATTAGTAGTTAAAAGGGCATTTTACCATATTTGACTGACAATTTCGACGCCATATTGCCTTGTAGCCATACGTTATCGGTAAAACAGATTTTCGTTGGTGGCGTTTTATATTGTTACAGTAAAGTCTCCATAAATGCAAAAACTCGGGACTGACTGGTGCATTCATGGTAGAGTTCGTACATTCTCTGATTTTTGCCGACAAGCATCGAACGAGGAGAAGACCAGCGAATAAAGGAAGATGACGGACTGAAAAAACATAAAGTCTTCATACAATGGACAAACTCGGGATTGACTGGTGCATTCATACTAGAGTTCATACATTCTCTGATTTTTGCCGACAAGCTTCGAACGAGGAAAAGACCAGCGAATAAAGGAAGATGACGTAGAGGAAACATAAAGTCTTCATACAGTGGACAAACTCGGGGCTGACTGGTGCATTCATGGAAGAGTTCGTACATTCTCCGATTTTTACCGACAAGCTTCGAACGTGGAAAAGGACAGCGAATAAAGAAGTGGACGGAGCGAAAACACAGAGACCTCATACAATGGACAAACTCGGGACTGACTGGAGCATTCATGGTAGAGTTCGTACATTTCCTGTTTTGTTCCGACAAGCTTCGAACGTAGAGAAGGACGGAATAAAGAAGAGGACGGAGTGAAAAAACATGAAGTCTTCATACAATGGACAAACTCGGGACTGACTGGTGCATTCATAGTAGAGTTCATACGTTCTCTGATTTTTGCCGACAAGCTTCGAACGCAGATAAGGACAGCGAATAAAGTAAAGGACGGAACGAAAACGCCAGGGTATGTCGGTGAGACGATGTAATGCAACGGTGAAACTTTTTCATTATTAACTTTTTTGTTGTAAAACTTTTACCATCATATTCTTGACATTTTTCTGATTAAAATGATACCAAACACGACGGAATTCGCAACGTATTTACTTGTAACAACTTATCATATCGTAGAACACTAACTATTAATAATAAAATAAAGTAATAAAAAAAGATGGAGAGTAAATATCATCCGAATTATATCGTGTTCGATCTTATTTGAATCAGAAAAATGTCTGGAATATGGTGGTAAAAGTTTTACAACAAGAAAGTTAATAATAAAAAAGTTTCACCGTTGCATTACATTGTTTCGCCGACATATTTCGGCGTTTTCGCTCTGTCTTACTCTTTACTCGCTGTCCTTGTCTACGTTCGACGCTCGATGGAAATGGTTTCTGTGCATTTATACTAGAGATATTTGTGCATTCATGAAGATATTACTGTATACCTATTTTTGAAAACTTCATTCAAACGAAATACTATCATTTTCCATAAAAAAAAAATTAATTTTTGAAAAGTCGGGTGCCAGGTTCACATAGCTCACAAAGCAGTTTAGTAAATTATGGTCTTCTGGATGCATTCAATGAAGTCGTTAAACTTTAATTAGTTCGATGTCGATGTATTTCATGATTAATCTTTCTACTCACCGAGTTTTTCGTTTCCATCGGTCGGACGATTCTTCCGATTGTTCGCAAGCGCGTTGGAAGACTTGTTTTGTGACGATGTCAAAGTGACTGGAGTTGGTTTCCGCAACCTGGTCGACGGAAGACTTCCTGGTATTCGCGGAGACATTACCGTAGACTTAGAGGAATTCACCTGTTCGCGGAGCATACGCAGATTGTATTTCGTGTCGACACGCCGAAACGATAAGTACAACTTCTAATTTAATATTGACAGTATCAGTCGGCAATCAATTGGTATAAACAAACGATACAAGCTTATACTATAAAGTATATTTAAAATCAACTAAACGACATACAACTTTGATATTCTCCGAGGAATAAAGTTTCTTGAGCAGAAGTCGCATTTATCATTATGATGCAAAGGGTATAGTAGGATAAGGGGGTCAAATTGATCAATGAACATATCAATTAATAGAGTGTTAAAAAAAACCATCTCTGCCAAGTTTCAACCCCGTATCCTTATTGGAAGGGTAGTTACAGGGAAAAATGCAATTTACAGTTTAACCTGTATATCTTTTGTTGTACTGTATCAAAAATTTTGAAAAAAATTACAGATATTCTACTCTACGGTTTACGTGTTTTTTGAGAATTTCTGACTGCAGAATGAATTTTTAAAAAATTCGAAAAGTTTAAAAATATTTTTCTTTTAATAGAAATTATGAAATGACCACGTTTATATTTTTGCATTGTTAGTGTCTTGTTATGATTATTAATCAGTATTTTTTTCCGATTTTTGAAAGTGGGGAAACGATGTTGGGAATGACTCATGTTAAAGTTAAGTATTCATTGATGTCTTTTTGGACATTTTCAATGTTCTAAATTTTATATTATTTGATACATGTAAAACTATTTTGAACATGTATATAATGACCATTCGATGCAGTAAAAATATCAATTAGCCGAATATATTACTCTTCTGCGAACAAAAATTTAATAGATATTAACTTATAATTTTTTTGTATGTTTTACACCTCTACAAAAAAACTGAAAAAATTATATATTAATAACGGCAATAAGTTATTAAAACTATCACAATATGGACATGGTCATATGAAAAATTAAGATAATAATATAAACAAATATCGGTTTTTGATTTTTCCAATATCGTTCCATCGCTTCCAAAAATTTGAAAAAATTATAGATTAATAACCATAACAAAACACTAACAGTGTAAAAATATAAACGTAGTCATTTCATATTTCTATTTAAAAAAAAAATATTTTTAAACCTTTCGAATTTGTTAAAAATTTATTGTGCAGTCAAAAATTCTGAAAAAATTTACAAACACGTACGCCATAAAGTATAATATCTGTAATTTTTTTCAAAATTGTTGATACAGTACAACAAAAGATATACAGGTTAAACTGTAAATTGCATTTTTCCCTGTAACTGCCCTGCCAGTAAGGGTACGGGGTTGAAACTTGGTACAAATGGTTTTTTTAAACACTCTATTAATTGATATGTTCATTGCCCAGTTTGGCTCGAGGGCGCTTTGGACCCTTATCCGGCTATACCCTTTGCACAAAGTCTGAGATGCTGTTCCATTTAGTGTTCGATTTCCTGTGGAATGACCCTAACGTAACAAGTATTCTCAACCAAAGGTGGCTACACTAACGCCATCTCGTTGTAACTTCTAACCTGAAATTCTTAATATTTCCCTATTTTATTCGATTCTATGATTAATTAATACCGATTGAGCTGTCAGCCATTTTACTTCAAATATTCGAGGCAATTAAGCGCTAAAACGATGTACAAGAATAGGGGTGAAAAGACCAATTAGAGGGCAAGCGAACGACATGAACAGTGGCACATCATTCTCGTGTTAAACACCCGAATATAATAGTTAAGCATTAACCCTTTGCTCTCTCAGTGCAAACTGTGGCACTCTAAGTTCTCATGCTTCCTACTCGAAAATGTCAACCTACTACAAAAATGGAAGGAGGCGGATTGAACTATATTCTTTAGAAGCGTAAAGGCGCGTTCTCACTTCAATTCGCGCTGCCTTCGAGGAGCGATTGTTCTCGTAGTTAGCTGAAGCATAGTATAAGTACAACCAGTAGCGTCGCTTGGCTAAATAAAGTAGCGTCCGCAAATGTGCAAACCATGAAGACTGTATAAGGAGATCCAACTCCCTAAGAATGTTACTAGAAAACTGTTAGCAAAATCCCGAACTTGAAGTTATGAATATTTCGTCCACTCGCGGCGCAAGTGCGCACAGACTACGATATACAGTGGCGAGCATATAAATAGGAAAAATGTTTTGTTATCATATAAGACGTTGTTCTGCAGTCCCGATTGGTATATCTCCTTTAGTCTTTCCATACTTCAGAAGTACATTTCCTAAGCTTTACAAAGCTGTATAGTTCTAATTACTAACGCCGTTTCATTAATATAACAAAATAGTAGACTTGAAATAAGGACATTTTTGGAGAGCATCTAAAACTGAGTTTCTTATTTTCAACGCACATTTTGGTAAGTTCATGTGATTATAAAGTACAAGTAGTAATATCATATGTAAAGTGCAGTTAGGTATATCAGTTTTCGCACATAGAAATGGGTCGTGGCAAACATGTTACAACTGTCCAACGTCTAGAAATTCTCTGCTTTCGGAATGAAAAATTAACGCTTCGTAAAATTTCTGAGCATCTTAAAATCTTAATTAACGTTGTCCATTCAAGCACTTAAACATATTAAAGTAAATGGCACTGTTGATAATAAAATACGCAATGAAAGACCACGAAAAACAACACCACGATTGGATCGAACGATACACCGTCTTTCAGAAGCGGACCGATTTGAGGCTGCGGTTGATGTTCATCGTGAAATTTCCAAACAAATGGACACAGAAATTAGTGTTCACACCGTTCGGGGCCGTTTGAATGAATTTGGACTAAGAGGACGCATCGCCCTTAAAAAACCATTTATTAGTCAAAAGAACCGTAAGGCAAGACTAGCCTTTGCTAAAGACCATCTTCTCTGGACAAGAGAGAAATGGGCGAAAGTAATTTTTACTGACGAGTCTAAGTTTAATCGCTTAGGATTAGATGGAAGAACTTATGTACGACGTCAAATAGGTGAAGAATTTAATCCGATGTGTTTAAAATCAATCGTTAAAGAAAGAGGTGGGGCTCTGTGATGGTCTGGGATGGTATGACCAGAAACGGTCCTGGTCCAATTTGCCGTATTAATGGCATCATGGACCAGCATCTTTATGTCGACATTTTAAACGAACATTTAATGCCATTTAGTCGAGAAAATTTGCCAGCCGACTGGATATTTCAGGCTGATAATGATCCAAAACACTGGTCACGAAAGGCAAAACGGTCCTTGGAGGAACATAAAGTTAGAATCATGGGTTAGCCTGCTTAGTCGCCGGATTTAAATCCGATAGAGCACCTTTGGAACGACGTGGATAAAGAAATTAAAACAAAAACCTTTCACAATTAAATGATTTATACGATGTGATAGAAGAAACTTGGAAAAGTATTTCAATCGATCGCTATATTCGTCTTATTGACTCTATGCCACGTCGCTATGCTGAGGTAATAAGAAAAAAGAGAGGCCTAACAAAATATTAATTTGTTATTGTGAATATGTTGTTTATATTATAAAATAAAATACTTTTGATAAATAATTCTGTAGTTTCCTATTTAGATGCTCTCCAAAAATGCCCTTATTTCAAGTCTACTATTTTTTTTTATATTAATTAAACGGCGTTAGTAATTAAAACTATACAGCATTGTAAAGCTTAGGAAATGTACTTCTGAAGTATGGAAAGACTAAAGGAGAAATACCAATCGGGACTGCAGAACAACGTCTTATATGTTAACAAAACATTTTCCCTATTTATATGTTCTCCACTGTATATACATATGTCCTATGTGTATATATTATCTATTAATATATAGATGATAAAGCCTAAAAAAATTCATATGTATTTTCCAATAACAAGTGGACTGCCGGTCAAGTGCAGGGCAATCTGAAGATTATCTGTACATAAATTGTATACAAATGTATATCGTAGTCTGTGCTCTGTTGCGCCGCGAGTGGTAGAAATATTCATAACTTCAAGCTCAGGATTTTGATAACACTTCTACACTACACAGTTAGAACTCCTTATACCATTAAGCTCTATCCTAACTGGAGTGTGAACTCCTGTAGGAAGAAGTAGAAGCGACGGAGGTCCGAGAGAAATGCAAAACGGGTGGTTCCCTTCGACCATACATACATGGACCGCTCAAGCTATAGTGTAGTCCGTAGCCAACATCTCCCATGGCAAAGTTACGAGTAAGCAGTTGTGCGCAAGCGCTACAGTCAATGGGCGACAGCAGTGGGGAAAGGTGCGAATTGAAATTTTGAACGGTTTGTCGAACTACTCTTCGACCATTGGTCAAAGCTGCAGTCAGCCTGTCATCTAGATGGAATTTTTGCTATAGTTCTCGAATTTGACGCATGCGCATTAGCGTCATGTCTCACTTTTGATATGAAGATGTTGGTTACGCTCTGCTCAGTGTATAAAGAGGAGGCTTGAGCAGTCCATGTATATATGGTCCAAGGTGGTTCTGGTATTATCTTATAGCAAATTTATTTGTAGAGGGGGAACAAACGTACGCTGTAACATAACCTACCCGCGGATCGCTAAGCATTGTAAACCTAAAGCATTATATAGCTGTAATAATTCTATTTTCAGATTCTTTTCCGCATAAAATTGGATAAATACAATATAAATTAAATTGTGACAAATAATAAAATTTAGCTCTATACCAAATTGTATATATAGTGTGTAGAATGTATTCGTACACCAATCAATTTCGCAAAATACTTTCGTATGAAATTGTAGTTTTTTAACTTCTTTTTTTATAATCAATGATAATTTACATATTCTCGGAAATCTGTAAGATAGATATAGTCCAAACAACATTTACTAGTTAACATAATTTGTGAAATTAACAAAAAAATCAGGAAAGTGGGTAAAAGTATAGAAGCAATAAGTATTTGAACGATTCTTATGACGAACCATTTACAATAGAGTTTGTAACGTAAACACATTAGTTTATTGCTCCGTACGAATTAGAAAACATCAAATTACCAGGAAAGTATTTTTAAAAATGGCTCTAATAGAGGAATTGGAGAAGATCCCACTTCGAATAACTAATAATTTAGTTAATTTAACGCTTAGAAGAGTTGTAATAATTATAAAATCAAAAGGAAATCCCACGAAGGAAGTATTATATACTTGTAAATTAATGTAAATTTTTTTTTTTTAATGAAGTTTTAAAAATTAAACAGTTGTGCGAATACTTATTGCTACAATATTTCTATCGATTAATTGTTTTTTTTTGTTAATTTCGTAACTTACATAAATAGCTATTTTTTTTGTAATCTATCTATTCTAGAGATTTTGGAGAATATGTAGAATGTCATTGTTTATAAAAAATAAGTTAAGAAATTACAATTCTACATAGTTTTTTTGGAAATTGATTGGTGTACGAATACTTTCTACACCCACTGTATTTGTATGATCTAAATTATTGTATGTAAATTATGTATACTATTCCATTATTATGTCATTATTATTAATGTTTCTATCGTTTTATATATAAATAAAAAGGAAACAAAGTTCAAATCTGTACGAATATTTTTTTGCGCATCAAACAATTGCTAGTGCCGCGAAAAGCAAACAAAGAGGAGTCTGTTCTCCCTCCACACATAAATTTGCTATAGGATAGTACCGGAACCACTCATCACCACTTCTATCTTAAAGTTCTATCTCAAAGCACTCCAGTTAGGATAGAGCTCAATGGATAACACTTCTACACTACACAGTTGGGATTTTTAATACGGTCTTCAAGGTCCATACCAAGAACATGGCGACGACGTTGTTTCCTATATTGTACACTAGATGGTACTAAAATAATAACCGACATGTGGCGACCTTTACCTACGCTGGCACAAAGAAGAAAGTGAATTTCACGACAGCGACATCTTGCGTTTACCGATATAACTATGAAACTAACAAAATATAACTTGTTCATCTATAGGAGTTACTTCAGTGGATGATTCAACCGAAAGGCCTAGTAAAGTACAAATACGATTTTAAATGAAAGTGTTATTGTTTTTAAGATGTTTCCTCCATTCATTTATCCAAGAAATCCTACAGAATCGAAAGATTCTTGTAACGTGGTGTTCAACACAATTGCAAACGCCACAGACACCACGCGCAGCGTCACACGTCAATTCAATTTATTACACAGCGTAATTTATTTTTACAATCTATAAAATATATTTTTTTGTATAGAAAAATATGAATAGAATGTTTTTTTTCTAAAACACTATATTAGTTAAATTACGGCACTTATGTTCAGTGTTTTATACATACCGTTTGCAATTGCCTTTCTGTTTCTTTCAGTTTAAATATGCGCGCGGTGCATACCAACACATGACGGACTTAGGACACCGACATCAAAAGTGCCGATACGGAGTGACGCTACTGGTTGTACCCAGGGCCGGTTTTAGCAATATTGGCGCCCCGGGCAAGATTATCGTGACGCCCTGTCAGGGGCATATACAGGGTGTCCCAAAAATGTTGTAACACCTTAAAAGAGGTGGTTCGGGAGGTGATTCGAAACAACTTTTTCCTTAGCGAAAATGTTGTCCGAGGCTTCGTTAAGGAGATATTAACGGAAAACCCCGACCAATCAGAGCGCGAGTATGCTAGTGGAGCGCCCGCGGTAGCGTATGAGCGCGGCCGTCCTAGCACGTAGTCTACGCTCCATCGGCATACTCGCGCTCTGATTGGTCAGTGTTTTCCGTTAATATCTCCTCAACGAAGCCTCGGACAACATTTTCGCTAAGGAAAAAGTTGTTTCAAATCACCTCCCGAACCACCCCTTTCAAGGTGTTACAACATTTTTGGGACACCCTGTATATTGGTATATTCGTATACTAGGGACACCGGACTGCGACGCCCCAAAAAATTTGGTGCCCCGGGCGGTTGCCCCCCCCCCCCCAACGCCGGCCCTAGTTGTACCTATACTGTGGCTGAGGTGATCGCGAAAAGTAGATATTCGATAGACTACAATCAGACTCAAGTGTCTTTCCGGCGCGTGTCGAATACGTGAGAAGGCGCTTTAACGCAACAGTCAATCGAGTACAAAGGGTTAAGGAGGTACTCTTTTCTTTCTTTGTCGGAAAATGGATTTTCTTTTAATTTTCTTTTTGCTCGGAGTCTTTAAAATATTTCCGACAAATTAAATTTACAAAATTTCACAATTGCCAAAATTATAACCGTTTATATCGCAGGCTGTCCCATTAAGCTGATTGAACATAAAACTTTAAAGAGGTTCTCTTTTATTTTAGGGCAAAAAATAATTATTTTTATATTCTTGTTGCGTGAAGTTTTTGAGAAATTTTTCGCAAAGTATATTAAAAAAGGTTCAAAATTACAAAAAAAAACGAAACATTAAACGAGTTTTTCATATATGTTATCGATTTTTTCTGCTCTTTTTTGTCTGCTTTTAAATCCCAACTCAGAACAAGAAAATATCGAAATCAACTTATAATAAGTCAAAAAAAAGTATACAGTGTCAAAAATCGGTAGTGATAATAATTTATAGTAAAAAAGAATTTTTTTTTAATTTTTAAAAATGGAAAAAAAAAAAGTAATTGTGGAAGGCCCACTACCGGACCGGGCTTAAGTTGCAGGATGGATAGAAGTTTAAAATAGAAAATCTTCAAGAAAATCGAAGGATACACACAGTTTTAAAAACACGATTGAACACTTATAATTGAAAAATTTCGTTTGAAAACACTTTTAATATTTTTTTTGTACTTTTTTCCGTAAAGGCTATCTAAAAACGAAAATTTTGAAAAAAGAACAATTGAATTTCGATCATTATTAATAAAGTTATGAGCATAAAACCAAAAAGAGAGCGGTTTTTTTTTTAAATTTGATATTTTTTAAACCACTAATAAAAAAAATCTCAAAATTTCCCAGGAATCCTCTTTTGAGGGGTACTAAAAAATACCAAAAAATTAAGAAAATCAAAAAAAAGTTTTTGAAACCGTCCGATTCGGCGTGGAATGCCCCATATGTATGTATAAATAAACGTACCAAATTTTAAAAGCTTTTGTCAATTACTTTGGCTGCAAAACAGTCACGAAAATCGAATTTAACTGGTATAAAGTAAAAGAGTACCCCCTTAAGATACATCGTAGAATGAACAGATGATAAGCGTAGTTTAGACGCGTGAGTACGTGCGACACGCGTCTCTTGGAAGAGGAAGATTTGTGTTAATTTATCTGAGCACAGAAAATAATCAGCGGCAGATGAAGATAAGTAGGCATGGCGGCGAGACAGGTGTCCGTCGAGTTTCCTTTGTAAAACGATCCTCTCTGGATACCGTTCTTCCTTTGCAGTTATAGAACTCTCTCTCGTTAATAGTGGTCGAAGAAGAATCGAATCAGCTTCTTGTTTTGTTAGACACGAAATGAGAGGCGATCGAGGAGCTTGCGTTTTGTTACGTATGCGTAGGTAGAGAAACTCGTCGACGCTTGGCTTCGTCGTCTTTTGTTTTTTCTCCGGTTCGAATGGTAAATTAGCCAGCGATAGAGAGGTCAGTTTGTTTCGACGGTGTTTTTACCGCTTCCATTTTGTTTAGTTTAGGCGTAAAGAGAGGAAGAGCGATAGCGCTTATGTTAGCGTATGTTTTAAGGAATTGTTACGTTTTTTTGTTTGTTTTTGTTTTTTGTTTCTATGCCGTTGAGTTTCGAATGTAGGAAGTTTAAGTCTAAACTGACCTCAGGTTTGGCTCGATCGATAGCTTTCTCGACCGGAAGTTCTTCACCATGGACATTCGTTTCGATCGCGTATGGCACGAGCTTCTTTCCGTTGTTCACCTCTCCTTCGTCGTTTGGATTTTCCACCGAGTTATTTGCCCTCGTCTGAATGGCTTCGACCACTTTTGGCTTTTCGTGATTGTGGGAATTGTTAGGTGTGCGAGGAACTGTAGCAGAGCCGTTCACAGGCCTGCGTTGTCGCCCTCTGTAAATGGTTACGCGTCGTCGAGGCTGTTGAGGTCTCGTCACCTTTTTCGACGAGTTTTCCTTGGTGTCGACAGACGGTCTACCCCGATGACGATTCCCCCTGCGACCAAACTCGTGATCCGAGTCGAACTTGATCTTCTGTCGACCACGGTTGGTACGCCTAACCAGTGTAGTCGTAGACTTATCGACAGAGGTTGAAGATGGCGTTGCGATCGTTGTTGACGTAATCATCTCTTGATCGCTCGTTGAGTTTCCTCTATTTTGGACACTCTGCGTTGCTGTAACGATCTCCTGGGTTGCCTCTGAACTTGGCCCAGGATTTCGGGTATTTAACTTCTCTATCACCGACTCTGATGTATCATTTATAGCAATATAAGTTGTAGTGGCTTCATGCAAAGTTACAGTACTTGCTTTCTCGGATACAGCGTTCGAGGAAATAGAATAACCACTTGTGGTAGGTGAAAGAACGCTTGTCAATTTAGTTGCGTTTGAATTTGTAACATCGATTAATAATTCAGAAGAATTGGTAGTTGTCATCGCTGGGGAATCATTGATCGAGGGTTCTCCAGTCGTATAATCATTCGACTGCAAGGGAGTAGTCAACGAAAATTCTGTAGGAGTTGGAATCGTGGAAGATGTAGCATCTGCTCTCGATAAATCTATTTCCGTTTGTTCCGGGATAGTTGGAGGAGTTGTGGTTCTGATTCTCCTTCTAACTCCAATCCTGTTTCTAATTACGCGTGTCACTTGACGATCAGTGATCGAAAAAGCTGTCGTGGATTCGGTGTATTTCGGTATACCACGTTGACGCAGCTGTTGCGTTATAGGTTTGGGATCCTTCTCTTCGTTGTCTCTACCATTCGTGCCCACAGAAGTCGACAGATTTTCTGTGGGGTTTCTGGAAGTCGATGTTACAGTTGTGGTCGACGTGCGAGTACTTTCTTTAGTTTTGGTCTGTTCAAGAACGGTATCGGTTGTTATAGTTATGTTAAATATAGGTTGCCTTTTGACGTTATTATTGTGGCTTTCCACTTCCGTAGGTAAGGTAGTCGATGCTGTTGATAACCTACTCGAGTCAGTAGGTAAGGTAGTCGATGCTGTCGATAAGCTATTCAATTCGGTAGGTAAGGTAGTCGATGCTGAGAGTAACCTACTCGATTCGGTAGGTAAGATAGTCGATGTTGTCGGTAAG